CTCTTCTCGATGCCATCCTTTCGCCGGTGTCCCAATCTCTGGGTCAGCATCTCCACCGGCGCAACAAACTAATCATCTCAGCTTGATAAGCTTGATTCTACAGCTCCTCCGCACTTCTTTCCCCCATCCAGCTGGACCACCTGCTCTCCCCCCATCGTGTGCATGCAGCTTGCGTCTTCCCCAACTCCAATCATAATTCTTCCGGCTCTTCCATTATGATCGCTTTCTCCAAGACCTCGCCACAACCCCTCGCCTCTCCGATTACTCCATAATTGATTGCATTCTCCGCTAACCCTCGGAAGCTTTTGGAGGGGTTTCTGCCGCCACCTGTGATAGGTTTTCGATCTGTCGCAGAACAGAGATTCGTCAAGAATCACAAACTTATTATCATCTTCAACAGCCACCCATGTTCTTTACCGGTCTAGAAGGTATCGGCGCTTCTCGCTGGGGGATCTGCTAGTCTACAAGGCCTATAACGCGTCAACTAGTGGCAACATTTATAGAAAGCATCGCCAGTCAGGGCCATGCAGCCATCCATACAAGCTGCCGGGTATAACCCGCCTGCTACGTGAATCGACCGCACCATCAGCTGCACCGAAAAGAAAAAAAAAAAAAAAAAATCCCTTTGATTGTACATAAAGTAAATGCGCGTGTCGAATTCCCACAAGAAGTAAGTTGATCATCCCAAAAGCCCGACAACAAAATGAAATCCCTTTATCCTTTACTCGCTTGATTCAGGCTCCTCGCCTTCGGCACTGTCATCTTTGGAAGCTTCGGCGTTTGCCTTGGCCTCGTTTTCCTCCGCTACCCCCATGATAAACGCCCATTCTGTGACGCTTACTGGTGTCACACTCAGCCGGGACTGCTTCAGCACCTGCATATTTTCAAGAGCCCGTACGGACTGTGCATATGATTTGAGATCGTTCAACGTAATCATTTTGTTGAACTTGCGCCGGAACTCAACGTGGACAACCTGCCATTTGGGATCGTCTCGGTTCGACTTCTCGTCGTAGTATGGGTGGGCGGGATCGAAGGCCGATTCTAAATGCGAACGCAACGGGTTAGCTGACCCTGTCTTGTCCAGTAAGGGCTAATGTGATAAGACTTACCATCCGGCGAATGCTCCTTGACAATCTCCATGATACCTGCAATGCCTGGGACCTTGCAGTTGGAGTGGTAGAAGAAGGCGAGATCACCCTTCTTCATGTCGCGGATATGTTTTTGTGCTGTTTTGCTTGTGAGCCAGAAGGCTAGCTTGCTACTGCCAATGGCCTCACTTACCAACAGGGTTACGCACACCTACTGGGTGATCAGCAGACAAATCAATCATCCAAAGCCCTATGATGGAAACGTACCGTCCCATGGCTCCGGCTCCTTACGGGCAGCCAAGTCATCAATCGAGAATTTTACATCAACACCTTTCTCCAGTCGCGAATCCGGCTCAGCCTTCATCAACCAGTATGAGCGCCCTTCGAAGGGTGTGGTATCGACCGTCTCTATTTTTGTCGTTGATGAGGTGGGTTCTGTTCCATTTTCGACCGGGGTCTTCCTTGGCCTGCCCCGTTTGCCTTGCTTGGGGGTTGTAGATTTTGAGGGAGTAGCTAGTGTATGTCAGCAATTTCCGTAGAAAAAATCATACCGAACGCATCATCTATAAAAGAATGGCATGACAAGAGGAACCGTATGGGGTTTGTCCATAGAAGCATCAGAGATATGGGACGCAAGGAGGGAACTGACGGGCATTCGGATCTTTACGAGGACGGCCACGGCCTCTTTTGGGGCCGTCAGGGCGCTTGGGAGTACTACCCTCAGGATATTTCCTGGGACGACCCCTCTTTCTCTTTTCGCCGGTAGCCGGTGTGTCGGGCGCGGCCTATGTAAGAAATGAAGAACGATTAGTTTTGCCTGAACGTGGAACTTTGGAAAACATAATCGTTTGTTCGTGCATTTTGTATGTAACATCGACGCTTCCAATCATTGGGGAAGGGGAGCGAATGACACCGTGATTTGCCAGTGGGCGGCGATCGCGTATTGAACGGGCCGACTGGTCTGGTAGAAGGAACGCGCTACCTCGTGGGTAGTAATAATGAACTTGTAGGTAGGCAAAGGCTTACCACTCTCTTCGCAGCAGGGGACTCGGCTTCCTCGGCGATTGACGCGCTCTCCGACTTGCGTTTCCTTTGGGGTGCCATGTTTGGTTGGTAGGTTGATGGAGGGATGTTTATCTGTGCGATAAGATCCACGGGAGTTTGGGGGGGAGGGAAGAGAGAGACGGAACAAAGATCGAATGGACGGTCAGAAAAGGACAAGAGCAGATGAAGACAACAAAGAAATCGGCCAGTCAGGAGCCAGCCAGCGGGGAAGCGCTGGGGGACTTGGAACACGAGGATCCAGACGCGCCTAGAAGTGTGAAAGCCAGCCAGTCAGTCAATCCAGTATAGGAAAGCTTATGAAGGAACCGATGCGGAAATGGGTGTTTGCAAAGGTTAGCAACGGAGACTAACCAAGGTACGGACCAGCTGTCTGTTCCGGCAGTCGAAGGGAACGATTAGACACGATAGGACGCGGTTCTAGACACGCACTGGGCAAGAATCATAACAGGACCGCGATGGGTGAAGCTCTGGTTGCGGATGAGTGGACGGCTCGAGCTTCTCGGGACGCGCGGTGGAGCCCCCTTAGGCGCTCCGCTAGGGTCACGTGGCTGTACTCACGGAGATTCAGGTACCCTGACCGAGCAAAACTATAACTGATTATTATTTACTCCGTAGGCGCAGGAACAGGCAGGAGAATAAAACTGCACGCAGCATATACCCCTGTCATAGTGTTGATGGATTGTGCTACCCTGCCAGTTGGAACGATGCACCCGACTACAGGCAAGCTCGTGCCGTCAATACCAAGTCACTGTATGGTGTAGGCCACTCATGACCATGATTTTGCTTAACTTTCAATCTGTACTACCAGCTACAACACCAACTATTTGGCGCTATCTCAATAATGATTCGCTAGTGCCCGAACTTACAGCCTTCGCTAGGCCGAAGGCCTTTTCATGCCCTTTCAACGCCATTATTGGCCACAGTGTTCTCGGAGACTCCTATAGTCATAGGCCAAGGTCCTGGGTTGCTGAGAACTTCTCTTATCTGCAGTCTAGCTCTTCATCAATGTTCTGTCAGTTCGATGAGCTGGCCAAGAAGATAATGCAAGGAGCACTTATGTTCGACTTGACTGGTTCGTCCATAGTGTACTCTACCCACTCCATGCCTCTAAACTCCTAGTTTCAGAAGAACTTGGAGCAGGTACCTGTCTTATGTTGCTTCGATCGGAAGGCGGAAAGTATATCCCATGTTTCGAAGATAATATCCGGTTCGTAGTGACTCAAAGAGAAGCTTTCTCCCCGTCATCGGACACCTCTCCTTCTCAAGAGGGGAGTCGGCGTGAACTGTCCTGCAAGCCCCAGAAGTGATTTCAATGCGGAGGGTACACTTTGAGGAAGCTTAGCGTCGTGCAAAGCTACCATACGGCCAAATATCGCTGCTCGATCTCTTTGAAGAACATATCAGGATCAAAAGGCCATATGTGGGTGGAGAGCCATTGGCATGTTTTGATATTTGCCAGACTTGCGCAATATGTTGACCGTTATATGGAGATTGTAAGCGAATTGGTACCCGACCAGGAAAAACTTGATGACTTTGGTCGAAGGACAAAACTGATGGTATTCGGTAGGAAATTGCGCCATTGTCACTGATTCAGCCCTGCAGAGTTGGTCGCAAATGCCTCCGAACGGATACTTAGTGTATACCGTGAGCATGCCATCCTGGCAATGACTGTAGGGAAGGCCCTCCACATCCAAGCCATGAGAGATCTTGGAATAAAAATTCAAGTATCAGATAACAGGCACTCGCAGTTCCAGACTCCGTGATAGCGTTAAAAATGGTTGAGTCATGGCACTGTTTTCCTTTCTAGCTTCGGGGCCAGTAATAAGTTTGGCACCTGGGTTTCCGTCGCCAAAACTTCGCACAGGGGTGAGTGCTGGTAGTTCGATCTTGGTAAGCTCCCAAACAAACTGCTCCGGGTGATTCTAGTGATTATGTATGCGGCGCTATGAGCAAAACTCTTTTTTTGCAAATGCTTCTCATGATGGCGCCCTTGGCTCGGGCATCACTTACTGTAATGGTAGTGTGTAGGCTGTAGTTGATCAAGTAGTCGCCAGGAGGATGGGAAAGAAGACACGCACAATTGCGCCATCATTCAACACCACCATTGGCCCCAAGCGAACACGATTGTCGGCCGAGCCATTTTCTTGCAAGGTAGTCGGCCGACAGCTCTCGGGTGAGAAAGAGTTGTAACGCTAGAAAGCGGCTGAGACGAACAAACAGAGTTGGGCACGCAGCAGCCAGTATGTGATAATTGTCATAACATTGATATGGATGATGATAGAGACAGTAATATGAACAGGAACCATCTATAGAAGAAGAGGAGGATGAACAAGAGGACTGGCCTCGCACGGTTCTTCCCCTCCTACTATAGTCTAGGAACAATGCCGGAACTAGGGAACGGTACATGAGTTAAGGTCGATGGTTCGTGCCTTGGGGAATCCAATTTCGCCATGGGATTCTGGTTGAATCTCCCCAAAAACATCCCGGACGGGGGAGGGGCATTTCCCAATGCGGATGACGCTAAACATCCCACCTGGAATGAGCTCATGCGGGTCCAATCAGAGCTGTTCTGCCCCGTGGGCGGTGGCAGATTGCGTGATCAAGATCGCCCTCCCAGCGGCTGTCATTCGTTGGAGGGGCATCCAAGCTGTGGTTCTGGTTCAATGTGGATGGTGTCCCCCCTCTGCCTCGTAGCTCCATCCCCGTTCCATTCACGGGCTCTTCGTCTTCTGGTTCCCCGACCTCGGGCCTCATCGGCAGTATATTTAGAACTCCCAACTTCCTCCGTAGCATTCATCTTCTCCTGCTTCCTACTCATCTTTCTTTCCCTACCTATCTAATTAAAAAGTTCATAACCACCCCTCTACACCTCCCCTCACTTTCACAATGGCCCAGGAACGTGCTCCGTAAGTGCTATCCAACACGATGTGACTGTATCCCCTCACTCGGCCCAGTTCTGACATGCCACTTTCTCACAGTCTCCGTCTCGGCTCCGTTGCCCCCAACTTCGACGCCGACTCCTCCAACGGCCCTATCTCTTTCCACGACTTCATTGGCGACAGCTGGGCTATCCTGTTCTCCCACCCCGTTAGTTCTCTCCCTGCACCGTTGCTGGATACCATGATGAATCAAAGATACAGCTGAGCTAACAATTCTGCAATTGGCATAGGATGACTTCACTCCCATTTGCACCACTGAGCTCGGTGCTTTCGCCAAGCTCGAGCCCGAGTTCACTGCTCGTGGCGTCAAGCTCATCGGTCTGAGCGCCAACGGCACCGAGTCCCACCACGCCTGGATCAAGGATATCGATGAGGTCAACGGCTCGAACCTCAAGTTCCCCATCATCTCCGACCCCGAGCGCAAGGTTGCCTACCTGTACGACATGGTCGACTACCAGGACACCACCAACGTTGACGCCAAGGGTGAGCCATTCCTCCCAGAGTGACGCCGTGAGGACGCTGCTAACATATTCCAGGCATGGCTCTCACCATCCGTTCCGTCTTCATCATCGACCCCAGCAAGAAGATCCGTCTGATCATGTCCTACCCCGCCTCCACTGGTCGTAACACCGCTGAGGTCCTCCGTGTTGTCGACGCTCTGCAGACCACTGACAAGCACGGTGTCACCTGCCCCATCAACTGGCTCCCTGGTGACGACGTTGTCATCCCCCCTCCCGTCTCCACTGAGGACGCTCAGAAGAAGTTCGGTGACATCCGCATTGTCAAGCCGTAAGTTGTCCAGTACACCCGCTTAAAGAGATATCACGGTCGCTAACGCGATGGACTAGTTACCTTCGCTTCACCTCCCTTAAGAAGGAGTAAATCAAGGCAGATTATGACAATGTCCCGCCCGATCCTCGTCAACTCAATCTCATACAGATGGGTGGCGTACCGATCATGATAAATAAAACATGTTGTGACGGGGTTGGTAGAGGGAACGCGGTATGAAAGTTATGGCTATGATGTGTAATAGTTTGATACCTCATGACAAATAAATCGATTAACGATCTCCAAATTATAACCCCAAGGCGGGCAGGGTTCGTCGTGGCTAATCAATAACTGTATCGAATAATGCTCCTGCATGTTGGGAGTTTCCACGCAGGAACCGTGTCCGCGGTGCTTTGGTTCCTGCATGGCGCACCTTAGAGGATCCTGTCACTGCCCACACACGGCGACTGGTAGCATGATCAACAGCAGTCTGGGCCCCGTTCGAGTGGCGATATGGAGCTGAAGTTCCGTCCTGCATGATGATCCTGGTCGCAAACGGCTGAAAGGCCAGCAGAAGGGCAGAATGCGTTGCCGGTGCCGTGCCTCGAATAAAAGCCCGTAAACACCCCGAGAATGCATAATAGGGAAAATATACTGCTAAATAGGATGTGAGCATACAAAGAGCGAATCTGAGTTATCTGACTGTGTACGATGATCAATCATTCGACAGTCGCTGAGCCTCATAACATTTTTGGTTCATACACAATGGCATGCAGGTTTCGGACTGTCAGATTTTCGTGCTTACTCCTCTTCCTCCCAACCCACTAGTTGTTTTTACCAATTTTTCTGGTCGATGTTCACACTGTCATGGGGCCGAGGCTCTGGACCGATCACAGGGACCCGTAAGACTGTACTTCAAAAGGAGGTGCGTCGTGGTATCCTTAGTCGTCGATAGCTTTTGCCTGCCAAACATAGGATATTCAACCCCGAGAATCAAAGCTGTATACCTGAGTTTCGACTAGTACTTGGCCCGAGAAGTGCAAGTATTTGAATGCTGGCGGTGCTACTCTGACGGACCTCCAAATGTACTATAAATAACAAATTAAACAGGTGAGAGGAACTTCCCGTTCTGGTTTGACATCATGGTTCTTTCCTCAAAAGTTGCTGATGCCTCAACTCTGAAACAGGTTGGGCCCCCCCCTCCTCCCCTCCCTTACAACTTTGAGTTTGAACCTGTCAGAGGAATTGACTTTCCCAGGGTTGGGTTGCATATTCTGCAAACCCTCTCTCCCTTTTAGACACTTTTCTCCACCGTGATCTGACCCAGTAGTGCCTGGACCGTTTAACGGGTAACCGCCAAACTAGTGACAAGGTAGCGAGACCGCCTTGAACCCGCACTTCACTTCCACCACCCCCGTCTTTCTCCTTTCCCTCAATCGTGTTTCCTCGGTCAGGCTTCTTCAGTGACGTGATCGGTGGTTCATCCCTTGCAGCAATTCCATCCTTCGAGTCAAGAGCCTCTTGGTCCCACCTCCTTGCCTCTTCCCCTCGTCCAGGTTGCGGCAGCGGCGGGGAAAGCCAGCGAGTGCCTCTGACGGATTTCGCCCTTTCCGCCCGCCCCCTGATCTGGTCGCACTACCCCGGTCCGATTTAGACCTCGAAGATCGCCCCAAACCCATTCGTTTCGCTCTCCTATCGTGCCCGTGCGGCTTCACTTGTCCAAATCCGTGCCTAGTCGTGATATCTGGGTGTGATGATACTCTGTCGAATCGAGATCCCTTTAGCGCCATACCAGAGATAAGCCATTTGAGGGTTGGAAACTGTCGTGATTTTGGAAGACACCTCTTTGGATTTTTGGATACCCGGACACAGTTGGTTTTATGAGAGCTCGCTTGGGCGCACGATTGGAAGGACGATAGTTGGTTTCTGTGGAATTGTTTAGGTGGAGGATTCATATACCGCCAAGATGATGTCCAGAAGCCAGTCGAGCTTGGGCTTCATGGACGCCGGGAGGGATGATTCCTTTGCGTCAGGCGCTCAACCTGGACATCAAGCGCCACCGTCCAATTCGGGTCCCATAAACCTGTCAGGTTTGGTGTGCAATGTGCGCCGAACAACTGGCAGGGAACCGCATCCGTTGGTCGGGGCCACCACGACTATCCTGGGCGATAAGCTTTACGTGTTCGGTGGTCGTGTCCTGTCTAAAAGTCGCCCGCAATTGACGTCGGACATATACGAGCTGGACTTGATCCGGCGTCACTGGACGAAGATCGAGACCACCGGCGACATCCCCCGTCCGCGGTACTTCCACAGTGTCTGCGCTCTGGGTGATCATAAGTTGGTGTGCTATGGCGGCATGTCGCCTGCACTGAACGTGTCAAAGGAGCCCGCCAGTAATGGCTCAGGTGGACAGGAAGCACAGCCAGAAGTGGTGGTCATGTCTGATATTCACATTTTCGATGTACCATCTCGGACATGGACCCGTGTCCCTGCCACAGACTCGCCTCAGGGACGTTATGCACACTGCGCGACCATTTTGCCTTCGAGTGCCCATTTCACCTCAGCCACTGCTCCACTTTCTGCAATTCACCACAACCCCGCGTCGTCAAATCCGAACCAGGGATCGATCGGGGTGGATATCGACGGATTTGGAGGGGCGGAAATGGTGGTTGTAGGAGGGCAAGATAGCTCCAACCACTATATCGAACAGATTAGCGTGTTTAACCTACGTAGCCTGAAGTGGACCAGTACCACTCACCTGGGGCGAAGCTGCGGTGCCTATCGGAGTGTGGTTGCTCCCTTGGTAGGCATGAATGTTTCCGACATCGGGTCTGCCGCAGACGATGGTGAGGCGCAGGAGCCGTTAGAAGAAGATTCGCAGGTCGAGGGCTGTCCGATGTTGGTCTATTCTAACTACAACTTCCTGGATGTGAAGCTGGAGCTTCAGGTGCGCCTCCCCGATGGTCGCCTGATCGAGAAGCCCATGCAGAGCCAGGCGTCGCCTCCTGGCTTGAGGTTCCCCAACGGAGGAGTCATCAATGGCCATTTCGTCGTGAGCGGAACCTACCTGACTTCGTCGAAGCAAGAATACGCGCTCTGGGCCCTCGACCTGAGAACCCTTACCTGGGGTCGCATTGATGCCGGCGGCTCTGTGTTCGGACATGGCAGTTGGAACCGTGGAATTCTGTGGCCGAGAAGGAACACCTTTGTTATTCTGGGTCACCGGAAGCGCAGCTTGGTCGAGGACTACAACCATCGTCGCATCAACTTCTCCCATGTGTGTATGGTCGAGCTGGAAGCGTTTGGGCTCTACAACAATGCGTGCCGGACCACGCCCACATCGGGATACATCTCATACAGCGCCCCGGCAGTCCCTGCATCAATGCAGCACAAATTAACCAAATTAACCTCGGGCGGACGGCCGTTTACCTCCGCGTCCGACGAACTAGGCAGACTCGCCCAGTCTCTGCCTGAAATGGCCGATATGGAACTACAGGCGGTTGGAGGCGAGCGCATCCCTGTGAACTCACGCATTCTGACTCGCAGATGGGGCCCTTACTTTATCCAGCTTCTGCGCGAGTCCTGTGATAGCGGGATCGCCGAGACTGCAACATTACGTCCAGCGGTTGCCATGTATCCCAGTCGCAACTCGAGCATCACGATCACCCCGTCACTGGGGCAAAACAGCAATTATTCCAATTCCAGCACTCTTGTCAGCAACCGCTCAGTCACCTCAAAGTCCTTGTTAGCGAACCTTGAGATACCCTCTGCGCATAGCCTTTCCCCTACCTCTCGTCCTCGTGTGCTTTACCTCCCCCATACCGTCCTCACTCTTCAAGTCCTCGTCTACTATTTCTACACCTCGTCTCTCCCCCCCGCCGGCTCACCCCTCTGTACTCCGCAAATCCTCTGCTCCCTCCTCCAACTCGCCCGCCCCTACCAAGTCGACGGCCTCCTCGAAGCCACCGTCGAGCGCCTCCACCAAGTTCTCGACGGAAGAAACGCCGCTGCCGTCTTCAACGCCGCTGCGATGGCCGCCGGCGGTGGCCGAGGCACCGGCTTCACAAGTGGCCCCGGCGGCACCCTGGAAGCGCTGAACGGCGCCCACGCCGGCAACGAATCCTCCGGTACCGGAACCACCACCTCCCAGAGCCACCTCACATCCGATTCCTCCGACACCGAACACGGCACCTCCGCCCTCTCCGTGGCCAGCAGCGCCAGCGGCGTGATGGGCTCACGCGGCATCCCCCTTCGCATCAACACCAACATCTTCAGCCGCCGGCACCGCAGCAACGCCGGCGTAGACCGCGACCGTGAAGACTCTATGAGCAATGCCAGTGTTTCCACCTCCGCCTCCACCAACACCAGCTTCGACCACTCCGACTCCGAAATGGGCGGCGACCCCACCCGTCCGTCCCACCACCGCCGCAACACGGACGCAGAATTTCGTCCCGAACGCGAGATCTGGACCGGCGACCTCAGCAGTGTCATCGGTCTTCAGAAGCGCGGTCTCCGCGGTCTCATGGAAGGTCGTCGTCTCCGGGAACGCAACACCAAACCTGCTGGCGCAGCGGATCATGTTGCAACTGCTACTGCTGCTGCTGCTCCACCGCCTGGTGCGTAGATTTCTCAAAGCCATATACATCCATGTACAGTTTCAGTCGCGGGAATGGAAGGAACAGGAGAAAGAGAAAGAGGGGAAGAGGAAAGGGAGAATAATGATGAACGATGAACGATGATGTGATATATTGCATTGATCATTGGGATCCTCTGTCATTTCTATTCATATTGTCTATCTATCTAGTCACACTTACTACAACCACATAGTACCTTTTTTACTGCAGGAGGAGGGGGGGCAAGGTGGTTGATGATTTCTATCCACCTATCTATCTATTTATCTATCATCTACTCGATACATAGATTTCTTTTCTCTTCCTTTGATTTCAACTCTATCTTTATATACCTCCGTCTCGTTGATTGATAATTCCTCCGTGTCTTTGTAACATTCTATTTATTCTATCTTCGCATAGTAGCTTTTGTCTAGTGTTTTGAATGCTTACTCATGTGTAGTTGTGGGTTGTAAGTGTTCGTTTTCATGCTTACTATTCCTTTCATCAGGTGGTATCATTACGAATACAACGCTACCAATAATACTCTGTACTAAGGTCTTCTGCTCACTCAGATTCTTGTGGTTAACTAGTATACGAGCGAGCGCGGCATACATACTTGCTTAGGAACCGGATTTACGGCTAAAATGCGACTAATGTTCCATATCGCTCAAAAGGAAACCAACTGAACTTAACATATGCAAAATGAACAAATTCGTAACGACATGACATTAAACCCTTCTGTGGACATTACTTCGTTGACTGGACAAAACCCATGCTTCCCACAGTAACCTCTGGTCATGGCTTACGCTCTCTCCATTGTCTCCTAATATGTCGGATGTGTGTCCGCTCAGCTGTTCAAGCGTGGCATCGGAAAAGAAGCGGCGGGTTTTGCCTGGTGGGCTACTGTTTAAGTAGTCCATGTTGAGGGAGGCCTTGTGCGGGGCCATGTCGGGCGTGGGTTGTACAACGATGGCAAGTGTCGGCGTTTGAGAACTGCCGGCACCGGGTCCGGCAGCGTCAGCGTGGTGGTGGGCATTGGCGTTTGCGTCGAAATGGCTGGTGTAGTCGATTCCACGCAGGTCTATGCGTTCAAGAAGGTCCATTTCGTCATGTAAGACGCTAAGAACGTCGCGCCATCGTCCACCGGGGCGGAGATAGACGTTGGCTAGTCGGACGTTGCGAAGCTGGCGCCTGTGCCGACGGATGAAGGCGATGATTTCTTCCGAGCCGAGGCGCCAGCCTTGGATACTGAGGGTCCGGAGTCTCTTCCACTGGACGTGGTGGAAAATCTGCTCTAACGCGAGGTCCAGTGGCGCATTGGTAGGGAAGCCTAAATGAATGGTTGTGAGATTTTTGGCAGCTAGAAAGAAGTCATGGAAGACGTTGGAGAGCGTCTCCATGTATGTGGATAGCTTGGCTGCGGAGTGAAAAGTAACATCCAAGCTCGCCAGTCGTGCGCCCAGTGCGGAAAGGCTGGTGGATGGAGCTTGCAGCAATCTCACGGTTGCTTCCGGGCTGATCTGCGGCCCGACAAATCTCACTGAGTTACAGTTTGACTCTAGTAACGAAATGCTCAGGCTGGTGACAGCTCTGGTGCAGGCGGGTTCCCAGTCCAGACGCGTTGTTCTTCCCAACGAGCGCTCGCGTATGTGGTCTAGCAATTGCTCGTCTGCTCCATCTTGCAACCGGAGGAGTTTGACTTGTTGTAGGGAAGAAAAAGCTGCTATCGCCCGTCGCAATAAACGGAGATCAAGGTTTGAATCGAGTATGTATTTTTGATCATCGAGCCGACGCCGGTGGATGGGCGAAACGGGAAGGTTATCTACATCGACCCCATCCAGGATGTGGGACCAACCTATAGAATCATCAGCTTCATGCGCGCAACATCCCGGGCGGGTCTGCAGAGACGGTACCGCTTCCTTGGTAGAAGGGTCGCACCATGTACGTGAAATATCTGACATGACAGGCTAGCTGCATGTTCAGAAGGTCCTCCAACCTTCGGAATTCGTCGGATGAAAACCGGAGTACAAAACTGGTGAATTTCCGGGGTGTACCGATGCGCTTGAATCTTCTGCAGACGAGTCTGAATCGATCCAACTCGGACTTTTCACCGAAGGCATGAGCCGTGCCATTGTCGGAGTCGCGAGACGAGCCTTGCGGAGTTGTCGGGGAGGGCTCGGGAGATAGATTGTCTGAACCCAAAAGGTACGAAAGTATATCACTGATCAACTCGTCTGCCAAGTCTTCAATGTTTCGAGGTCTCTCCATGGTTTTCGCACAGCGAAGCAGCCGCGTGGTCGGCTGCTATGGTCACTCGCACCAACATGGAAACCAGCCCAGGTACGAGAGGGGTATGGCAAACAACGATGCGCCAGGTCGGAGGTTCAGGAAGAAAGAGGAGAGCAGGAAGGGACTGACCCTGATTATATGGACAGGGAATCGACGAGAGAATAAGCAAAGAGTGACAGCAGACAGCCGGGAGGTTTTTAAAGGATCATGACCACAAAAAAATAAAATGAGGCGCAAAAAGTTCGAAAAAGAAAAAAAAAGGAGAGCAGAAAAAGAAATTAAGAGTTGGAGGAAAGGAAGGACGAAAGTGATACATCCCCTCTCACACTCCCAGCATATTCTCTATCGACTGCAGAGTAGACGGCGGGCCACAGGCAGAGCGCTTGCAGCAAGTGAACCTGTCTGACAAGATTTAGAGCGTCCCACCGCGACAATCCCTAATTCCGTCATTCGAGTCGACTGGGGGGGGTTTCACCTCCGGGTATCTCGCCAGGACCATCAGAAGACGCCCCAGTTTGATCAGACGACAGGATATTGGCTGAGAGAGCTGGCACACAGGGGTCACATGATCGAAACACTATGCGGATATCCAGCGCGAACCTGCAGGAGGGAATCTAGTAGGAAAGAAAGTGACGGAGAGGATTGGTAGGGAAGGACGACGACAGCTGGCTGGACCGGGGATAAGGGAAGGAGGAGGGAGGGGAGTGGGTAAGAGGGAAAATGATGCGACATGAGAGTCCGTTACGTGCAGACGCCCACCAGAGTTGCAGCAAGGGAACCCCGCCTGGAAAGAACGCGAATCAATGGCGGCCTGTCGTTCCCAAGCCTAGATCGTCCCTGCTTGCGACTGGCGAGTTGCGCACGGCATTTATTCCCTCCTGCTGCCCCATCTCCGTGAGCCTAGCGCATTGGAGCTGCTCCATCAAACCGGGGGGTGCTAGCAGCAGGACTAGTACTTAGCAGCACGGTATCGAGATTGCAGAACTGGATCGGAATCGCCAACAATGGCATTGGGTTGGTCCGGACTGGAAAGCCTCGCGTGGGGATGCTGTGAGGGAAAGGATCATCAGCCCCTAAAACACTCTGGGCCAGTAGCCCCCGAGTCCAGGGCGCAATCCCAAACGCCGGAGAGATAAGATGGTTGGTGGTCTGTTCTCTCTTCTCTCTTTTTCCTCTCTGCACAAAGAAAACAACTCATTCTGAACCCTTCTCAGGGGTAATTTGTGTTTAGCAAATCAAACAAAGAGAATGATAATCCAAAAAAAAGACAGGCCATTCAAAAGCCTCCCCGGAAATTAGAAAGGAGCAAAAATATAATTGAATGGCGGTTGAAGAAAGAACGGAAGAAAAAGAAGTAGTAGTGCACCACCACATATTAGTGCGGAGAACGTCTATTTTTACAACCCCCATTTAAAAACATTTGAAGCTCACTCCTTGTTGCGTCACTTCATCAAGAAGCACCATCGCAACTCACAAAAAATCAATATGACTTAAATGCATGACTCGCTTTGTTGTCCCTGGCTGCTGGTGATGCCGGCAATGTATGTACAGGATCGCATCGTGCCCAATCATCCCCATATCTGCACGCCTGCCCTCTGCCGTTTCAGGACAGCTGTCAATGTCTAAATTCTCGAGCTTGACGACTGGTTCGCATAGCTGCCCGCACGCTTTGCCAGTTCATTGCGCTAATTTATTCCGTGGCCATCTCCATCCGACGCCGTCTGATATCAGTGCTGCTTATCTTGGACGCGAAACTCTCGGCATCGTCGGTGGGGACTTCGCCTGTATGTAGTACGTCGACTTCAAACACCTCCAGGCTCTCCCAGCCTTTCTTCGCACGCTCCTCATTGACCGCGGCCCCACCTGCACGAGTCTCTTTGGAAACAACAAGAGCACTGATCTCTTCGTCGGTGATGGTAGGGCCAAAAGGATCCGTGATCTGTACCAGCTTGAAGACTAGATCCGGCCGCATTCGCATCTGAATGTACTTGTCATCGGGTCCAGACCCAGAGTCTCGTTCAATGCGCGGCGCACTGGTTTCCGGGATACGGAAATCCATGATGGCTGAAAGGAACGACCCGGTACTCATGCATCGCTCATCCCAGCTCTCCAGATATTCGGCATACTTTTTCTTCGCCAGCAAACCTTCTCCTGTCACCCCGACGGTAATCTTCCGGACTTTACCTGCCTCCACATCCTCGGCAGGCTGCAATACCAACGCCGTAGCCGTGAGCAAGAGCTTGTGCCCAATGTGAAAATGGTCGAAAGTGCCTCCTACAGCCACAGAGTAATGCATGGTTGATATGTGGTTATCATCCATCACCAGAAGTGATTCTGCAGCCTTCCAATTGGGTGCATTTGGGATTGCGCTCATAGATCCGCCGTTGGGGTCCTTAGACTCAGAATAGAAGCTACTGAAGGCCGTTGCTAGACCCTGACCTACTTGGTTATCCGGGTAGTATATGAAATCCCACAGTCGCCCAGACCGCGCCAACGTCTGCAAGTCAATAACAGGACCATCGCACGGGTTGTCCCTGGGAACGGCAGTCTGGACTGAATCGTAGTCGAGTAAGATCACACGGGCGTCAATACCGCCAGGACCGTCGAGCTCAATGCCTTGCTCAACACACACAATCCCAATAAGCCTATAGATGCTTTCCAGAAAAGACTGGAGGCTTGAAAATGCCCTAGTGCGCGGCCGACATGAGGGGGATCGAAGGCCTGGAAGGGAGAGCGCAATATCTAGTATGGCCGCGTGATTGGCTCCATTAAGTTCCCGGACAAGCTTGGTGCAGACACCCAACAGAATGGGCTCGTATGCAGCCTTGAACTGGTCGAACGATGCCGAAGGGGGTGGTGGCAGCAGAAGCAGGGCCGAAAGTTGATCTGAAGCCATATTGCGGGGAGGAGAGAGGGGAGCTCACGGGTGGAGCTTAGTAGAGAAAGAACACTGCAAGGGTAGAGTTTCAAGGCGATAACAATAGAGTCGAAGAGTTATACAGCGCACGATATGCCCTTTAATGCGGAATGTAAGTGTACAATCCCACCTAGTAATCCGGTGTCAAATATCTTCGTTTGGCAACGCAAGACAAGATCGCTTTCATCAACCCCAACCAACGATGATGATGATGATGGAAGGAGAAGCGCAGGAATTCCCCCGCGATCTGGGTGGCTGAGTCAGCGGCACGAGACTCCCCTCGGCGGCGCTTTGCTGCCTCATCGCTCCTCCCTTCGACTTTCTCCGTTCCTGCAGGCATTCCTTCCCCTCGTTCGAGCTCCAGGATGTCTCTCTGACTCCTTAATCATCTTTCCCCCGTGATATGATCCAGATCGAGCACATTCCTGGTGCAGTCGGAGCTCCTAGCACCAATCCCCTCTCCTCCGGATAGTCCTCGTACCCTCGTTATCGCCCTACGTCTTCGACTCCCGAACTCAATCCGAGAATCTCATTGAGGTCCAACTGCTGTGCGGTGGGCTGCGCCTTTCATTCTTGAGGTCTCGGGTTGTTCGGCCATCGCTGTCATGTCGAATCCTACGCAGCCTTACGACGCTCGGCGGGCGACAAGCTACGGTCGACCTGAGGAGCTCCATATTCCATCGACGGGCCCCAATCTGCAGCGACAATCGATGTCTCACGAATACCCCGCCGGTCAAGACAACCATGTCCCTTCCATCAATGTTCACCCATTAGGGTCGCAACCGGGTCAGTATGGTGGTGGTGGAAGCAGCGGCGCGAGCGGAGTACTCCCGGGAGCGCTTCAGCCGGGTAACGTCAACCGTCCTCCTGCAGTATCAGTCAACACTGCACCTTCGGCGCTACCAACACTACCTGAATTGAATACACCAATGCAGCCAACATCACAATCAGGACAACAGCCCCCGTCGGCGCAACAACAACAACCGCCCCAGCAGCAGCAGCAGCAGCAGCAGCAGCCAAATGCCCGCACCAGTATGGTCAACTCTCATGGGCATTCTAGATCCAGCCCAGCGGGGTTTGAGCAGCCAAAATACAGACAGCCAGGCTCTTCACCTGGCTCTGCATACCCTCCCCATACTCCTCAGGGAACAAAATACTCACCGTTGGGTCTAGCCGACATCCGACCGACAGGGGACCTTCTAGGTGACCCAATCACCAGCTCCGGTATGGCGCCGTTCAACGGGGATAATCCGGTACCTACCAATAGCAATTACATCGCCCCTTGGCCTATATATTCCATGGATTGGTGCAAATGGCCTATCACGGGGAGCTCCAGCTCGTTCGGGGGCAAGATTGCCTTGGGAAGCTACCTAGAGGATAACCACAACTACGTACGCGTACCCCTGCCACCTTGCATTCTTCATATTCGCAACCTCAAAGTTGTGCTAATTTGGAATAGATACAAATTATAGATACCCATTGGACACAACCCGACCCCGATACGCCGGATGCCGCCGCGGGGGAGATTAAGCTCGACTATGTGAAAACCGCAGAGGCCACCCATTCATATCCAGTAACACGGATACTCTGGGAGCCGCCGTCGTCGCAGAAGCAGTCTACCGATCTGTTGGCCACGTCTGGCGATCATTTGCGGTTATGGTCGCTGCCAACGGCGCAACCCGTACCAAGTTCCAACTCCATTACGCGGTCGGCCAGCCAACACGCACCGACAGCGAAACTGTCGCCGCTGGCTTTGCTCTCCAATTCCAAATCCCCCGAGCATACCGCTCCAATCACCTCATTGGACTGGAATACGATCTCCCCCAGTCTGATCATTACCTCGAGTATCGACACCACCTGCACGATCTGGGATATTCCCACCCTTACCGCTAAGACGCAGCTGATTGCACATGACAAAGAGGTATACGACGTTCGATTCTGCGCGAATAGCGTGGACGTCTTTGTCAGCTGTGGCGCTGATGGTAGTGTGCGCATGTTTGATCTCCGCAGCCTAGAACATAGCACTATCATCTACGAGCCCACGGAGAAGCATGAGAAGGGTAATGCCAATTTATTTCTTCTTAGAGATCCCTGCATTATACGCTAACGGGTACCTGCTATAGTCCCCACTCCGGGCAATGGAAGTCCTTCTGGACAAGCCCAGCCCGTATGGCCCCCGCCTCTACTACGCATCGCTGGTATGTATTTGGTCAGATTTGCTGGCTGCGGTTGAAACTGGACGCTAACTGTCATAGCATCACCCCATGATTCCCACCTTCTTGCCACTTTCTCGCAAGATTCCAACATCGTGCGGGTTCTAGACGTCCGACAGCCCGGACAGGCTCTTCTTGAACTGAAGGGCCACGGCTCCTCCATCAACTGCGTTGAGTGGTCGCCCAATCGCCGCGGGGTTTTGGCCTCTGGTGCGGACGATTGCTTCGTACTTCTGTGGGACCTCATCAACCAGCACAATGCGGCTCCTGTGCCCCCCATGCCTCCCGCCCCGCAGAATGCGGGCACGCCCGCGACACCCAGTGAGCGTGGCCCGGCCGCCGTATGGCTCTGCGACAACGAAGTGTCAAACATTAGCTGGTCGCCGCAGGGCGGTACCACCCCTGCCGGGCATCCACGCGACTGGCTCGGGGTCTGCGGTGGACGTGGATTATGGGGTGTGGCACTGTAGCGCCATGGAGAAAAGCACTATTAGACGACTTGTTGTTTTTTATTTCAACTTATACTACACCATCGTCTCGCGTTGCTGTGCTTTCCTTTTTCTGTTGGCTTTACTTTTCTTTTTCCTTTCGGATTTTGCTGCCACCTTCGGTATCCCCTCACGCTGTAAAGAGATTCTTGGGTTGTTAACTGGCATGGTATGAGTTAACGAATGAAACGAACTAGCGTATAGTCGATTGAGTACCTAGGTGTATTTCAGGGGCACTTGGGTTGTGCTTTTTATCTCGTTTACAAGTGGATATCTTGAACGGAGAGTGGTTGAAGCCGGGTATACTATAGCTACTACTCCCGTCAATCTATACACTATACAACCTGCACCATTGACAGGCACAGTCCAAGGCATGGTATACAATTCTAATGGTAATATCAGAGCTTTACCATGTATCAGATCAATTTTGGAATGTATTTGTACACTAAATAAGACGGGAGTGGAGGCAGCGTCGCAATGAGACTCAGAGCGGTGCAACCTTAGGGCGGGAAGGCAGTAGGGAAAGGACTAACTATACACTCAATGCTACTTTACTACTTCCTACTTACTGCTTAAACTTATCGGTGATGTGTCTCCTTCCTTGTTTCTCGACTGACAGCTAGAATAACCATTTCTCAGCCTCATTCCACTGCGCTTCATCTTCCATCACCCTCTTTCTCTTCCAAAATTTCTCTTTCTATGGGAGCTCCGAGCCGCCAATCGGCCACCCGCCAATTGCACGCCAGAATACGGTGCCGATCCCGCGACGTGAACTTCTCGACCTTCAATTCAACTCTCCTCATTCTTCCCTTCTCCTCTTCCTCCTCGACTTCGGCTTCCATCCCGGCTCTTTCGTGCCCTTCGCCCTTCCACCCTGCAAATCGCCAACTCACTGGCGATTGCCTCATGCCGTCATCATTCCTCGCCATTCTCTCGTGACTTCTCCGAGCTTTCTGGCTGGAGTTCAGCTGTCCCCAAGTGATCGTGGAAGGGAGTCTGCAGCTTCCCTCTTACTTGCTACTCAACACCTTCAGGTTGTCGCTTTCTAGCCAGCTGTCACCATGGACTTGCGCACCATCATGAACACGGAGAGCGCTGGCAACTCCAGCGCTCCCTCCCAACCACATCCGTCGCCATCTCAAGCGCCTCGCGATTCCTCCGACCCCATCTATCCTCCGCGCGACCAGCTGCCATCCTCATCCTCCTATCCGTCAGCCTTTTCCGGCCCTCCGCCGCCGCAACGATCTCACGCATCTCCCGAGCGCTCTTCCTCCTACGGCTCTCTTCAATCGCCTTACCAATATCGTCCCTCACCGGCCATAATTCCGGGCGCGCCATCCCAAAGAGCTCCGACCCCTCCTCCCTACGGTGCCTCTGTCTCGCGTGACTCCTTCGCCGCGTCCGTCGCTTACAATCAACAGCAACAGCAACAGCAGCAGCAGCAGCAGTCCCCCGTCGCTCAACAACGGTCGCAATCCATCCAGTCTGTTTTAACCCCCTATTCCCATTCCTCCCACTCATTCCATCCCAGGGAAAGTTCCCCGACAGGCGCTGCACAACCTTATCCGTCGCAACATTTCTCCCCTTCGGCACAAGGATCGCTACCGAATACGCCACGAGGGTCTGCTGCTGCTATCTACGCCCACCAATCACCCCAATCTTCCGCTCGTCCTCAGTCTTCAGGTCGTGACTCTCTTTCGAATCGAGCTTCCAGTCCGTGGGTGGGCCCGGACGCTGCCGCTGCCGCCATGCACGTGTCGCCCTCCACCGCGGCGCGGTCATCGCGAGCAGAATCAAGAACACTAGACCAAACTCCGCGCAAACACAGTTCCACCTCAGAAAGAAGGGAGTCAGACGAAAGTGTGAGCCCGAGAACTACCTTCCTCCCAGGGGCTCGTCCCGAGACAACTACGGCACGTTCCGACCAGACCGCTTTATCGCAGCCAGAACACGTTGAGAATGGAACTATAATAAAGGAGGGCCAACCTACGAACCCAAGTCTTCCCACACATGAGCAACAAATCAACAGTTCACCACCCTCGTCGAGAATGTCCATCACAAAGGAATTGTCTGTGGAGGATTCGGCGCCCCAGTGGGCCCAAAAAGCTAGAGTGGCTTCAGACCCGAAAATCACGTCGAGCCCGCAACAGCCCAAGCGAAAACGGCGAAGGCTCAACGAACCGCCTATCTACGCCCAAAGATGTGCTCGCTCGAAAGGAAGATGTCCCCCCATCCCAAAGCCACACCCGCCTATTCCCAAACACGCAAGAGACTCGCCAGCAAACCCCTGGATCGTGCGCCAACGCGCCGTGTCCTCCGCGCAGGGGGCTGTGGCTGCTGCGGTTGCTCCTCCTGTCAAAGTAAAAGGGGAATCCACGCCCGTGAATGGGCCTTCGACGCCGACGCCGCAGCGGCCATCCGAGCCTCCACAGGTCGGTAGCTTGGGGCCATGGGAACCGTCTATCACGGGGTTTATCCCGCACGAGGAGGTCACCAAAATCGTCGCCGATTTCCTTTTCCAACACGTCGTGCTCCGAAATGACGCCATTGCAGCCCCTGCTGGGGCGGCT